GTTGGAAGGCATCGCTTTCATTGACAGAAGTTTGGAAAAGTGAAGGTAAATTTCTATCTGTAAAGCTGGTTTAGCCTCGTTGGAGGTTTCACTCCGTTGGGCGAATGTGCAATTACTTAATATTAAAATGATGAATGTGTAGCCTACATCACAGCAAATACGGACAGCTCATCTGCAGAAACTGGACTCAAAAAGGTTTATTTCGGGTGCCTTCGGCAAAAAAAAAATACACCGCACGTGGACACTGCTGCTTCGCAAAGTTGCAAGCTGTGGATTTTCAGTCAGATTTCTTTGTCCGTATTTGTACAACGCATTTTAACCACAAAGGGTTCCCTCCAGGATACAAAGGGTAGGAGGCGAGACTGAACAACGGGAACACGTAGAAGGAGATTAAGTAAATGAGACACGAGGAACTTCTTGTCCAACATAGGCATTTTTACTGGACGGTTTTCACTTTTTCTAGACGTTAGCCAGAGGGCAGTAGGCGGTAACTTTTTTGGGGGCACCGAACAGGCCTCGCGTCGACGTTATCCTTTAGCTGGCCTCGTTGGACCATCAGTCAAAGACTCTTTACGACGTCTGGTAGCAGGCAACCCGCCAAACTGTTCGTTCCAGCCATAGCTGGGGTCTACCAATCGGTTTTCTCTGGCGGTCAGCGAGAAGTTTGACGTAAAAGGGAGTAAGGCAGTAACCTACGAGTCTTACACGGAGCCACGGTGGTCTAGTGGTTAGAACGCTGGCCTTGTAATCCTGGGGTCTCGGGTTCGATTCCCGGCGGTGCCCGAATTTATAACTTGTGTTGGGCAAGGCCGTGGTCTAGGCAACACGGAGTTTTCCTCCGGGGGCTTTCACCGTTTCTCCGTGGCATCCCAACAATTACTCCATTCACACACAGAAGAAGGCAATGGCAAACCACTTCTGGATCATCTGCCAAGAACGTATATGAACAGGTCCCAGTCCGAGAAAAGGATGGAAGGATCCTGTTCATATGGACCTGTCGTCAGACAGAACACTAAAAATAAATAACATCCCGGAAGACTATTTACACGCAAACCCGTCAATGCGGTGTATGAACAGAATCTGAAATTTAGAACTTCTCAGCATTAGGCAGCGATTCAGTTCCTAGATCATAAATTACCACGTTGTGTGGATAAATTATTATTTTAATATTCTCACGAGCACTCACGAACCCTTTAGATGGCACCGTGTTACCCGCGGGCATATAGTTGCCGATCCCCGAGCTTAATGCTTCCAAAGGGCGACCATGTCCATCGGTACTGTGGTAATGTTCTTGAACCTGTGAACTAAGTTACGACTCTCAGTTCCACCATAAATAATAACTTGCCCCGTCTATATTTCAGAGTTTCCCCAGAGCAATATTCCGACTTAACTGCCCTCTACGAGCAGTTTGGAGTGCGCTGTAGCGTAATTCTGTACAGAGATGACAGCGTTCTTTTTTTATCTTGCGTTATTTCTTATATATATTGTAGCTTGTAACATTCAGCCCACATACAGAGCAATGAAGTGTGAGGAAAAAGTAATCGAAAGTAAGAAGATGCGATATGATTCTCGAAATGGCGTTTTTCTGGGATGTTTCGCCGTGTACAGATGTGCAGAAAGAACCTCTGAAACGTCGGTATACTCCCACCAGACTACACGCCGCAACATCTTAAGGTACAGTTTGGCTGCACGCGACAGAGACGGGAGACGGACACATCGCAGCTTTTGAGGTGACGACCGAGACATGCGGCAAAGTGTTTGTTTTCTTTGTGAGTACAAAAATGCTTCTAAAAAGGTTACTCGAAGAATAAGAAGAAGATGATATGTTGCTGTGTTATTTGTTGCGAAAGAAACAAAGAAAACCTATGAGTTCAATATTCAAAACCAGACGCGAAGAAGGATCTTTCTGTCGGTGGTCAGTGGTCGGTTTTCTGCTACTAATTCTACCAATTGCTCATCTTGGTCACCAGTAAATTTAATTTCTGCCATTATTTTACTCAACAACACTCTGTCGCCTGCCTCGGTCGCTTGTCTCTGTCGCGTGCAGCCAAATTGTACCTTTAGACATTCATATTCATGCTCGCCGTCTCTGGAATATGAAATCTTAAGTCGTGATTTTCAGCTTGATGTTTTGTTTTTTGGTCACCCTGTACCATGTGTTACGAACCCCTACCTGCAACGAGCAGATGGGATAATTTAATTCCATCGGACTGAACTCCTGCTTTTGCTGTTGTTTTAATGTGAATTGACTGTCAAAACAAAACCAGGTTGATTTAGCAACGCGTCAATGCACAGCCCGCGAAATTTAAGTAAATAATTTGACGTAGGCGGCGTGGAAGGCGAGTGGTGATGTGCGCATGCGCAACCCAGCCGTGTCTGACGGGAGAACATTGCTCTTTGCTATAGATACATTTCTTACATGCTATTGATGTTTTCCGTTGTTCTGCGGTGCTACAGTCGTCATTCAGCCGTTCTGTTGTTATTTTAAAAACAATTCTTATGTTGTAAAGTACGCCCCAGGTAAATTTATATTCAATCGGAGGAGGCATCAACTTTTTTTATAGTAATGCAGCAACACTCAACTATAGCGTATGTACAGAAGTTGTGTGGACTGAACTATTTTGTGCTGCGGAATTGAGAGTGATGGTTTATGGCTGTTCTGCGGCCGTTATCAGTGGCGGTTCACCGTGTTTTATTCGAGCCCAGAGCACTCCAAGTAAACAGCAGGTTATGCGGCAAACACTTGCTCGTTTTGTTACCATCAGAGCGAAATACATAGTATTTTAACAGCTAAATTCAATGTTTGTTAAACAAAGGGCAGAATGAACATGTAATTCTTTTTCGTAAACATTACAACATTTTAAGCGTGCCAGTCTCTTATTTATATACTTATTTATTTATTTGGATACATTTTTCTTATCGATGGGAACAAAATCACTGTTTTCATTTGACGACTTAGGAACTGGGCCAAAAAAAGTTAGGGGAACCAAATTGAAAGCAGCATTTTGCATCTAGTAAGCAAACAGTATATGATCGATTCGTGAAGTTTTTAGATTCTTCATGTAAGGGGAACAAATATTTGTATGCGGTTGATTGATTGGAATTACGTAGTGACAGGCGATTACACCGGCTGTCGCAGTGAACATGAAAAAGTGTGGTAGAATAGAAACGAAGTTCGTAAAACACTTCTGAATTTTTTTGGCGATATAGAATTTTAGTCCCAAGTTGATATTGTTGAAGCGTAATGTCGCTTTAAAATAAGTGTGCGACATTGTTCGCTGATTAGGCAATGTATCATGTTATTATCAACCAAAATAAGTAATTCGGAATATACTTTGTGTGTTTAAGTAAGAAGATCTCGTATGAATTTAACGAAGTCATTTATTGTAGAAGTGATTTTGCAAATTATTAATTTTTATCTGTGAAACGGGAGGGTGAACAGATCGTGTACACCGCAGAGTCGAAATTGAGCATCCTGTTATTTGCCGTAATATTGTGGCCATGAGGAAGGCTGTTTCTCCTGGTACAAGTCTACGGATATTTCAGAGGTGCTTGCTGCCTCCATCATCGGGGCTACGAGGACACGCACATTTAAAGAGATTAATAGTAGTTTGGAATACCCCACTACGAGAATAACTGTGTTTTATCTAATTTTGTGAATATCATTCACATACAGGACCGTTTCCATAGGCAGAACTTTGTATTATTACTGATAATTAAAGTTCAGGGCCCTTTTGCGGAAAGTTACTTAGGCGGGATGTTTTATTTCTAGTCTGATTTTATTTTTAATATGTTTTCAATTTAGAATATTTGCGTGGGAAGACAGGCCGTGAAATGTCATCCATGTCGGTCTACAGTCGTCATAAAAACAGCATAACGAACGAGGTAAATAAAAAACCTCTCAGGTTGGATTCAAAACCGTCGATTCTCCTGTCCACGTCATGAACCATGTGTGTCCCACCTGCAGACGATGTTGTCACTGTTAGATTGAAATTGATCGTGATCAGAGTGCTCCAAGTGGGCGATATGTATCAGTGTGAACAAGTGTCCCACTTACCGTCTGGAAAGCCAGACCCAACCGTGGGAGACTCTCACATTATTTAGTAGACGGAGAGACGACCTCGCAACAGATTATTTTCGTGAAGGAAACTTTCGGGCAGACACGTAACTTACGAAGGAATTTTACATGGATTAATCCGTTGGGACACTTAACGTTTAAGCAGTGCTTCACCTCAACATTCTACAAGCCTAAGTTTTTAATTGAACCGGAAATTGCTTGTTGTGCCCTTCTGTTTTTTAAACTACACGCCAGGAAGTCGCTGAGTACCGCCTCGCTTATGCCACTCTTGCTCGAAAGAAACAAATGCGACTGTGTTATCAAAGGCGAGAAGGCATCCGAGGTCTTGTGTTTTCATTGTTGAAACGCCGTTGTTCCAGTGACTGCAGTCATGCGGGTTGCGTTTTTATCTTACTGTATAACGTGAAGAACACCTGATAAATGACCTGGCTTCTGTCACAGTGCGTTCTTCACTTCAGCTTTTGGGTCGTTCAGTCCAGAACCACAAACACCCGGTGTTTGGGGAGCTTTAGTCTACCCGGATTTAACCTGGCGCTTGGGCTGTTAATCCCCAAGTTGAGATTTTCAGATACCCTCATCTCTGTCCAAGTAAGGCTTTAGAAATCTGCGAAACAGAACATTTAGTGGGGCGGTAAAGCCAGTTAAAGAATTAGCCGACGTTCTTTGCTTAATTATATAACACTGACATAACGCGTACTGTACTGACCAGGATAGCCGAGTTCCTCAGGGCAGTAGGTAGGTGCGCTCGGCTCGGCACGGCCTGGTCTGTGCACGGAACGGACAGGTAGCATGATATCTGTTTCCAAGAAACTCACCTTATTGTCAGTTATGTTATGAAAAAAACATGCGCGCGCATGGTGCCTTCCATCCCCCCGCGCTGCGAACTCGAAAGTAACCTGGTCCCTACAGTACACAACTGTCCAGTGCAGTACTGACAAGTGTTTGTTAAGTCGTGCAAGTTATTTATGTGCTGAACATGTAGCACGCACGGGGAAAGGCAAGAGGTGCGTATAGAATTTTTGTGAGAATCTGTCTTGAAAACAACCACTGGGAAGACCAAGAAGCAGATGGGAGGATAACATCAAGATGGATATTAGGGAGGTGGGCTGTGAGGATGGCAAATGGAGTTGCCTCAGGGTAGTGGCCGGTGGCCGGCCTTTTGTGTCGTCTGTGTTGAACCAGCGGGTTCTGCTACCAGGGCGTTGGTTAGTGCATTAATCGGCACGCCTTGCACGGTCTGTATATTTTGCATCCGGATTCAAACTGGGAAACTTGATCGTAACATTTACGTTACGGTCAGACCATGACCCGGAGATGGGGGCGATGACCGTGGGTGCGGGCAATGTGTCACGTCGAACTAATTGTTCGGTGTGAACCGTAATTAGTCATACGGCCGCACTGTCCCGCCTACTGCAGATGCTGGAACATTGCCTTCAGGACAACATCAATTGCCTTCCTAAGGGGGGCTCATTCCCCATCATCCTACAAGCTGGGAACATTGTCCCTCGAATTAGCGGTTTTTGTACTTCGCCCTACCTTATGTTTAATTCGCCGTAATTAAAATTACAGACAAGTAATTCGGACGGGACCAGATCTTATGTAAGCAGATTCTAGGGTTGAGAACATAGCCTAGTCTTGCTTATATTTGAGGTTATTTCGACGGCGAGCATAATGGCGAGGTTTTGGCGCCGGGTAGAGTGGTCGGTAGATGGCAGTGTTTCGGAGAAACATACCACCTTCATCTCCAGCTCTGACATTCGCCAGAACCCATCAAACACGCAAATTATTAACAGTACTTTTATTATCTTCAGTTAAAGTATGTATCACAGAAACATTTTTCGTTAACATAAGGGCAGCCATTTTGAGGTTAGCTCTGAAACTTGATTTTAACAACTGGATCTGTTTTCGCTACGCACCGTATTTGTACGCGTTGTTAAAATATTGTACAATTTAACTCGCGTAGTTAATATAGTTGTATATTTCTTTTCATGGACCGTCTTGGTATGCGATTACTATGGTTTATGGCTGTTTTATGTTGAAGCATTAATAGTGTTGTAAATATCACATGCTTACATATGTTAGCCACACACACACCCCAACTGACCTGTATTTTAACGGATAATAACAGGACAATTTTAAAGTTAGGTGGGGAAGTCGAGGGGAATTGCCTGTGAACCTGTACAACCATTCTCGCCAACGTTTCAACATTACCAACTTTCTAAAATATGTTAAGATAGAAATTTACATCGAGAGATTCTGGATAAAATGTGCATTGTGTATTAAACTTGTGAATAGTTTTAGTTATTAGACGACCCCCCCCCCCCCCCC